TAAATGTGCTAAAAACATGTATTGGAGAAAAAATAGCTTCTTCAACAAATGGTGCTGGGAAAATTGGAAATCCATATGCAACAAAATGAAATTAAACCACTCTCTCTCACCATGAACAAAACTCAAAATGGATCAAGGACTTAGGAATAAAACCAGAGACCCTGCGTCTAATAGAAGAAAAAGTAGGCCCTAATCTCCATTATGTGAGATTAGGCCCCAACTTCCTTAACAAGACTAATTTGGTGCAAGAATTAAAATCAAGAATCAATAAATGGGATGAACTCAATCTAAAAAGTTTCTTCTCAGCAAAAGAAACAATCTGTGAGATAAATAGAGAGCTAACATTTTGGGAGCAAATCTTTACCCCTTACACATCAGATAGAGCACTAATCTCTAAGGTATATAAAGAACTCAAAAAGGTAAGCAATAAAAAAAAAACCAATCAATAAATGGGCCAAGAACTTGAAGAGACACTTCTCAGAAGATGATATACAATCAATCAACAAATATATGAAAAAATGTTCAACATCTCTAGCAATTAGTGAAATGCAAATCAAACTACTCCAAGATTTCATCTCACACCAGTCAAAATGGCAGCTATTTTGAAGACAAACAACAAGTGTTGGCAAGGATGTGGGGAAAAAGGTACACTCATACATTGCTGGTGGGACTACAAACTGGTGCAGCCAATATGGAAAGCAGTATGGAGATTTCTTGGAAAATTATGAATGAAACCACCATTTGACCCAGCTATCCCTCTCCTCAGTCTATACCTAAATGAGATAAAAACAGCATCCTACAGGGACACAGCCACATCAATGTTTATAGCAGCACAATTCACAACAGTTAAACTGATCTTTTTTTTTTTAACAGAAAAATTTATCTACTGTTATTTATTCTCAGAATTACTTTTTTTTCTTTTTGCTATGTTGGTTTTCTATATTATACCTTTCACTTATATATGTTCATTTTTTTCATGATCTCTTTTCAACTTCATTTGGGTTTATTATGTCATTATTTTAAAACAAACATTTCTATCACTAATTTTCAGGCTATATATATATATATATAAATGAAGCTAAAAATTTCTCTGGAAAATAAAGTGAGAGAACTTTCATTTCTGCTGCATCCCACAGGCCTTTTAAGAATACCATTTCCATTATCATTCAGTAAATTTCCATTGTGGTTTCAGATGTAATTTGGGGGTTATATAGAAGTGTCTTTCAATTTCTAAATGTATGAACATACTTTACTTATCTTTTGTTATTAATCTTTCTCTGGCAG